AAATACTTAAGGTACCATTTGTTTTCGGAAGAATATAGCGTGCGGGACCTAGGACAAAACTTGAGAGGCGGCACACATCAAGAACAAAAAGAAATTAACATGTGAATGACATTCATCAATGGGGAGCCCTGTGCAAATCATCTGAGCTGAGGCATACATGGTGCTCCTTTGCAAGCTACTATAGTTTCGGACAAAAAAATTAGCGAGGGCGGGTCCACCTAATAGCGGGTTAAAAAATCTCAACTATTTGTGGCTTGCTTTGTTTTCAGGACAGACAAAAAGGAGTACAAAGGAAATTTTCTAATATTGAAGACACCGTCATGAAAGATATCGAGCAAAAGGAGCAGAGCAAAAGAAGTTGCGGTAGAGGAGGCCGTGGAGGAGGCAAAACTACGCGGAGGAAGTGACCACGTTATGTCCCTGACCATTGTTGCGGGATCCGACGAAGAATCCACTCCCCAGGGCGCAGCTTCCGGCGAAGATCGTGGGGAATCTTTGTCCCACGGCGGTGCATCCGGCGGCGGAGGCCGTGGGGCATCCATGTCCCACGGCGCACCCGACAGTCGCCGTGGATCCACGTCTGCCAGGAACAGCTGTAACACCCCAGGTATTTAGCAGGGTCATTTCATGAGCATCAACATAAGCATCATATTTCATTCTTGCTTTGCATTTTAAATTCATATTTTATGATTGGTTTTTCCTTTTGTTAATAAATAGAGGTATAAAAACTTTAGTTTTAAAAATAAATCAAACACTTGAACTTGATAGATAATGTGTGTAGTTAGTAAACCAAAAATGTTACCAAAATGAGAACAAAAGAAAAAGTGGAGTTTAGGTTAGGAAAAATAAATAGCAAAAACAAAAAAAAGATGGCAACATCATTTTCATCCTTGTGTTCCCCTTAAAATTCTTAAGAAGAGATGTTGAACTAGTTCATCATTTCATGGTACAAACCATGTACACTAACCCTATGGAGGTTTAGATCCAACTAGAGATAAGTTTGGCCCTTTAAAAATTCACCAAAATATTAGAAACCCTAATCGTGGCTTAAATCCTATACCTTAAGAAACCCTAATCGAGGCTTAAATCCTAAACCTTAGGACAAACTCATGTTGATCAAGTGTTATCTCCCAAGTTAATGACTTTTGGCCTAGGTATTTTAACCAACCTCGATCTACATTGCGGGTTTAGCAACTTTGATTATTGGGTCTTGGGCCAAAACCGTCTGGAAGGAGGTTAACGGGCCAACCCTAGAACCCTAAACCCATTCCCAATTTTGGGAAGGGCAGAGTCCAGCCCTCACGCAGCCTGGCGCCACCGTCCGGTTGTGTCCATACGTCGGAGCCGCCGCCTGGCCCACCACTGCGACGTCACCGCACCCACGTGCGCGCACACCATTGGCCCTGCCACGCGCCGCCGTCGCTCGCCTCGCCTCACCAGCAGTTGGAGAGCAGCCCTGGACATTGAACCTGCCGCACACCTCTCCAAGGCTGTTTCCGAACCAGAGAATGGACGGGTCGCCGTGGGGAGCAAGCCGACCACGTTGCCACGCGGCGGCAACATTTCAAATGTCCAGTTTCTGGATTTTTTGGCAACACCTTGGTTAAGAAATCAGAGAAACTAAAAGAACCCTGATGTTAAATAGATTCATTTACTGTGCATAAATTGGACGTCAAAAAATTATGAAACTTGAACAGGAAGTATGAAACATGTTAAGGATCTTATAGAAAAAGTTTGGGGAGCCCTGTGTAAATCATCTGAGCTGAGGCATACATGGTGCTCCTTTGCAAGCTACTATAGTTTTCAGACAAAAAATTAGCGAGGGCCGGGTCCGCCTAATAGCGGGTTAAAAAAATCTCAACTATTTGTGGCTTGCTTTGTTTTCAGGACAGACAAAGGAGTACAAAGGGAAATTTTCTAATATTGAAGACACCGCCATGAAAGATATCGAGCAAAAGGAGCAGAGCAAAAGAAGTTAAGGCTATGTGTTGTAACATTATTATTTGTGAAACCTGGACTTCATGTCATGTATTGTTTAGGCTATGTGTTGTAACATTATTATTTGTGAAACCTGGACTTCATGTCATGTATCGTTAAGGCTATGTGTTGTAACATTATTATTTGTGGAACCTGGACTTCATGTCATGTATCGTTAAGGCTACGTGTTGTAACATTATTATTTGTGGAACCTGGACTTCATGTCATGTATCGTTAAGGCTATGTGTTGTAACATTATTATTAATGTACCGTGAGGACAACGTGTTGGTTCTTACTTATTATGTTCGTTCCATTTATACCCTTCATTCTGATTTATTTTGTAATCATTCTGTAACTCTAACCATTTCAGGTATGGCGCACCCACAGCTAGAGCTTATTGATCCTGTGATCGATCGACGCGATCATCACAATTGGACAACAGACAATTGCCTCCCCCGTTAGGTCTCTGTACACCTGAGCACTTGTGGAGGCTCAACGAACGATGGATTCCGAGGTATTTTCTCAATTACATTGCACGGTTTATTCATATGTCAGTTGTGTTTGATGAATTCTGTATTATTTGCAGGTTGAGGGCTGCTGGTCTACTTCCACAAGCTAATTTGGTGGAGGCCACAGGGGACCGGCATGCTAGGTTTGCAATGGACCGCGCTCTAGTCTACGCTGGTCTACGCTGGCGGTGTGGAGGTCGGATGAGGCAACACATCCTTCACCGTTTCTTGGGTGTTCTACCACCAGCAGGTACATATGTTTGCCTAACATTGTTTTGCATTGCTCGTTCGTTTGCAACAATACTAATAAAGTGTCCAATTTTTAGGGGACGACGAGCAACCCCAGTAGGAGTTCAGTGACGCCCATGGGCCAACCAAGGCATGGATTGAGTAGTTCAGGCCTGAGCTCCTGGACGAGGACTCAAAGGAGTGGCGAGTCACCTGACACTTGGAGGCCTACCTTCTTTGGTTGTTTGGCTGGGTCATGCACTACTGGAAAGTTAACATTCTCTGTTGGTAGAAACGAAACCGACAAAAAATTAACTTTATCCTGTCGGGTAGAGAAAAACAACAGGAAAATTATAAAACCGACAGAAAAATTGTAAATATCCTGTCCGTTTCTATCACTGACAGAAAAATTGTAAATACCCTGTCGGTATTTTTGGTACACACAGGAAAAATTATATATTTTCTGTCGGGTACAAATTATTTCTGTCGGTATTTTTCTAACACACAGGAAAATTATGAGAAAAAATCAACGCGCAAAATTTGCCACCAGTCCGAACATCCGGTATGGCGAAAACCCAAAAGGAATCTTTTCTAGCTTCCAGCGCCAAAAGGAAAAAAGAGGCCCACAGCTCGTGCACGTGACCCAGTGACTCAGGCTAATAAAAATTAAAAAACTCCCAAGAGATATACCCATGCCTGCATCGGGAGGGGGTTTGTGACCCCGTGAGGCCGCGGCTCCACAGTTCGCGAGCTCGCGTCTTCCCTTCCGCGCCGCCAGCTTCTCTCTCGTACACGCGTCGCCTGTACTCCGTTTGGCCGCGCGCGCCGCTTGGACGCGCGTCGCCAGGGTGCTCGGGTGCCAGGCCTCGCGCAGCCCATCCTACCAGGCCTCGCGCCGCCCGTCCGCTAAACGCCTCGTTCGACCCCAACGCAGCGGCTCGCACCCCTGCCGCTACATTTGAGGTATTATCCTCTTCTTCGGTCTCTACTACTGCTGTGTTCATGATCCTCAATCCCGCGACCAACTCGCTGAAACCCGTAACCCTAATCCCCAGATCTGCCTCTGGAGGTGTTTGTGACCACGAGTCTGCAGTCAAAGGAGCCCGTGACAGAGCCCTAGATGGAGGAGAAACACTGCAAAGGAGCCAAAGTAGCCCATGAGTGAAGGAGCTGGAGCAGCCTGTTACATCGACTCAGATTTTGCTACTTCCACCTCAAAGGGTAAGCATTGTTTCTTTCTCGTTTTGCTGTAGTTAATTGGCCTATTGAATAAGTAAAATGTACAATTTATATGATCTGCAACATGTTTGAGGTATACAGAGTTTCAGCAATTGCACAGATAAACACATATGGAGATTTATTATTCTCAATTCTTTGCCGTTCTCTTGAAGTCGTACTATTAATTATTCAATCAACCGTAGTGAAGCAGATTTTAATTAAATGACCAACCAGCCGATGATTACCTGCTTGAAAATAATGTCATGTTCCCTCATGCACTTGTCTACCCTCTTCTTGAAACTATGTTCCAGGGCATCACCTATCTCCTAGTTTGTGTTTGAGCCTGTTGCTCACTTCTGGATCTGGCTACTGTGATTTTTGAGGTAATGGGGCTGGTCTTTTATAGAGCTAGCTTTACTGTTGGGGTGGGAAGTGTGGCTATCACCAACCACACCCAGCTTGGATTATCTGTTTTTCTTAATAAAAAACTGTTATAAAGTACTCTCTCAAGAGGTGTATGGTTTTGCTATGCACCTATATGAACTAGGGTTTCAACACTATGTTTTGAGGGTTACACAGAGTGTATGGAGAAGCATGTAGCTTTAGTTCACTCTTTTTAATCTTAACAGATGAATATTTTTTGTTGGTGGTTAGTTAATGTGTCAAAAAATCAGTAGAACAGTGATGTGCTTGGTTAAATTTGATATTGTGTGCTTTGATTGAGGTGCTCTATGGATCTGCTTGTTACTTTGTGTGTTTGTCCTGTTTTTTCTAAAACACTACAACATAAAAACAATGTGATGCCTACTAATTTTAATCTTTCAAATACAGCTAGTTAATATGTCACACCGCACTTGGATGTATAGTGGCTGGCAGCGTGGTAAAGCGCCCTCTAGTGAATGGATTAATCAAACCACTCAATTCTTGGACCATGCATTTTCCAATATGGAGGTAGCTACAAATGACACCATCAAGTGTCCTTGTGCCATGTGCGGAACTATTTCAGCCTCAAAGGGATACTATAGAGATGTACTTGTGCAAGCATGGTTTTAGGGAAGGCTATGAAACATGGACCGAGCATGGGAGACTCATATTGGGCATGATGAAGGTGATAGCATAGCAAATGGGGAGGGTTTTGATGAGGTTGATCGAATGGATCAAATGCTGATTGATCTAGCTGGGGACAATCCACCTATAGTAGATGAGCAACCAACACCATTTGCCACAACTTTTTATAGGATGGTTGATAGTGCAAGTGAGTTGGTGCATGAGAAGACCACACACTCTAGGTTATCTGCTTTCTGCTTGCTTGCTTGCCATAAAGTCATGACACAACATGTCAATTGCTGAATATGATGATATAATAGGCATAATACATGAACTTCTTCCTCTAGATTCTAATTTACCTAATGACTTCTACCAATCAAGGAAACTACTATAGGGTCTTGGCAAAGTTCTGCGGTACCTACCCATCACAGAGAGGCTGCAAAGGTTGTATGCATATGTGGATACAACCAAGCTAATGAGGGCACCTAGTCCATCAACGTCTGGTAAGATGGTGCACCCTTGTGATGGAGAAGCTTGGCAGCAATTTGATGAAGACTTTCTAGAGTTTGCAAGGGATAGAAGAAATGTGCGACTTGCTATAGCAACCGATGGTTTCACACCATTTGGTAGAGATGCTGCCCAGATACTCATGCTTGGCGATCTTTGTGGCGCCATTAAATCTACCTCCTGGAACACTCTTAAGGCCAAAGTATATATTTCTTGCCCTTGTTGTTCGTGGCCCTAAGCATCCTGGTAAAAACTTGAACATTCTAATGCAGCCCTTAGTTGATGAATTTAAAACATAGTGGGAAGGGGTTGACACAATCGATGCTTCCATAAAACGTAGCTTCAAAATGAAGGTAGCATACCATTGGTCTGTACATGACTTCATGGCATATGGAGATTTCGCTGGATGGAGCACCCATGGTAGATTGTCATGTCCTTGTGGATATGGCTGCCTAGGTTTCCAACTCCGTAATGGTCATAAGGCTTGTTGGTTTGACTGTCATAGGTGCTTCTTGGCTATGGATCATGTGTTTAGGAAACAAGCTAATGCATTTCGTAAGAACACAAGGGTGTTGGAAGAGCCACCTAGGAGGTTGACAAAGGAGGAACTCCAGAGCAACGTGACCAGATTTGCGAGATGACGACACCTTTGGTAAATTGCACAATTGGACACATGTACTTTGCTTTAGGCAGCTTCCATATTTTTCTAAGTTACTTCTTCCACATAATATTGATGTGATGCACAATGAAAAGAATGTGAGTGAAGCCATATGGAACACATGCTTTGACATAGGTAGTAAGACCAAAGATAATGTGAAAGCTAGGCTAGATTTAGCTATGATTTGTAACCGACCTTCGTTCCATCTGGTCCAAAAGAACAATGGGTAGTGGGACAAGCCTAGAGCTCCATGCTGCATTAACAAAGATGACAAGCCAATCATTCTCCAATGGTTCAAAGAATTGAAGTTTCCTGATGCATATGCAGCCAACATTAGGCGTGGTGTGGACTTGCAACTTAAGAGGATTCTTGGCCTAAAAAGTCACGACTACCACATCTTTATTGAAAGATTGCTTCCTGTTATGTTCCATGGGTTTCTACCAGATAATGTATGGCGCTCTTTGGTTGAGCTTAGTTACTTCTATCGACAATTGTGTGCCAAAGAACTTAGTAAAGATGTTGCTCGCTCTTTAGAACAGAATGTTGCGGTTCTTCTTTGCAAATTAGAGAAGATATTCCCTCCTAGATTCTTCAATGTTATGCAACATCTGATCATCCATCTGCCTTATGAGGCACGATTGGGAGGGCCAGTTCTAGCCCGTTGGAGTTATCCATATGAGAGGTAAATCTAGAAAAAAAAATCTACATATCAGTTAAGGCCCATTAGTTTTTTATTTGTAATATGTTCTCTTATTTCATAGGTTTATCCAGAAAATTAAGAAGAAAGTAAGAAATAAGGCATGTGTTGAGGCTGCCATTGTTGAGGCATTTCTAGTTGAAGAGGCTACAAATTTTCTTAGTCTATATTTCAAATCCAGTCTACCTTCTATTAGAAACAAGATGCCACGATATGATGATGGTTCATCTATATTTCAAGGTACACGTGACCTTGAAATTTTAAAATACCCGGTCAATGCATCAGCCAAAGGGGTATCCGTAGCCTCTCAAATGAGTACAAGGTTGCTTTCTTGTACATACTAACAAACATACCTGAGATGGATGATTTCTTCATGTAAGTTATACAAACTACTTGAGTAGTGTTGTCCCAAATAACTTTGAACCTTTGATGTGAGTTGAGTATTGTTTCTACATGTAGACAATTTGATAAAGAGGAGTGGAAGAGCCAATCTGATCCTTTGAATAGCAACTTCGTGATTTAAGGTTAAATGGTTGGAAAAATGCCCGTGGCAAACAATTTGGGCCAAATTTTTTGATTGGTTCAAACAGAAAGTAATACTCTTATCCATTTGTCAATATGTTTATATTGAATAATAAAAATGCTAAAGAATTTTAACTTAGATTTTTTTTTTTTTTAGGGCATGAAATCGAGTTAGCATTCATAATGTTCTATGCCGGTTATCTTATGGTTTCTACACTCAAGTTACCTCCTATGGGTGCTATGATGTTAATGGATATAGATTCCGTTCGAGAGAAATATTAGAGGGGAAGACTTGGTTTAACAACCATCAATACTGGTGTTTGTGTTACTTCATATGATGAAAACAACAATGCCCTTGAGTATTATGGTGTCATAGAAGATATCATAAAAATTGAATGGGAAGGCAGTTTGAAACTAGAATTGGTTTTATTTTATTATCATTGGTTTGATCCAACACCTAATGGATTGAGGCTACGGAAGATTTAGGCTTAGTAGAGATTTGAAAAGTTTTGACCCATTTGTGATGGCTAGTCAAGTTACTCAGTGTTTATTATCTATCTTACCCATGTAAGGATAAGGATCTATCTCCATGGTGGGTTGTCTACCAAGTTGCTCCTCATGGATGTGTACCTCTTAATGGTGCAAATACATGAGTTCTAACATGTAATACATGATGTCGATCAAGAGGATGGATTGGATGGTACCTTTGTTATTGATTTGGGGAAGCATTGGATTCTCTCGGTATCTTTGGGCTCGATGAGATTACTGATGTGGTAGACTTGGAGACAATAGAAAAACCACGGTTGAGGATGAGGAATATGATGAAGAAGCTATTGATGAAGAGGGTAACACTACAGAGGAAGAGCATGAAGCAATAACGGATGAATCAGAGGAAGAGACTTATGATCATGATGATGATTGAATTTTTAGTCATGAATTTGTAGCGCTGTAATGCTATTGTGTATCACTGGGATAAAATGTACCCTTTATACCTTATTTTGATATTAAATCTAGTCTTGGTGTTATGTATTCTGCAGCTATTTTCATGTAATCTGAACTTGGTGATATTAAATCTGAATTTGGTGTTATGTAGCTGCAGCTTTGTGTTATAGAATACAATATTCTAACTCATCGTTCCTATGCATTTGTTCAGTTCTATTTAGCTGATGTATACTATTGAATACAATATTCTAACTCATCGTTCCTATGCAGATGGCTCATGGAATCTGTCATGCACGTAAAATCATCTTCCTGCTGCTGGCGGCCGAGCACACCGCCAATTTGCTTGCTGCTGCTTCTGCTGCTGCTTGTGTCGGTCGTCGCGCTGCTTGCTTCTTCTGCTTAGGCCGCCAACACCAGCGCCTGGCTGGTTGTGGCCGCCAGCACAAGGCCCGGCGCAACCACCACCGTCGGGGCCCGATGTTGCCACCGCCCTTGTGTGTTGCCCCCATCTTGTCCCTCCGCGTCCTCCTCCCATGGCGTGCTCAAGCCGAGGCTCTTGCTCTAGCCATGCAGGCGGGCTGGTAGGGCGGACCCGCTCATCTCTGGCGAGCTCCGGCCACAAGGACCGTCGCTGCAAGCCAAGAATGGCGAGATCCACTCCCACCGCCCGTCCCAGGCCGCTCAGAGGCGGTGATCCGCCCCCTTCTCGTCAGAGGAGTAGGGGTACCCGGCTTCGAGGTGTTTCTGGCGGGGAGGTGGTCCGCGCATGCCATGACGGCGGGTGGCGACAGATCGCTAGTTTTCCAATTTTTTGAACGTCATTTATTTCTGTAATTTTCCATTAAAATACTACTCCATCCGTTCCAAATTATAAGTCGCTTTGACTTTTGTGGTTCATCCATTTTGCTACGTATCTAGACATAATATTATATCTAGATGTATAGCAAAATGGATATATCAAAAATGTCAAAGCGACTTATAATTTAGAACGGAGGGAGTATTATTTAAAAAAATTGAACAACAGATCAGGTCCTGCCACATCTGAACACGATACACACGATGCGCGTTGCCTGGGTTCATCGTCGCGAGCGCTTCCTTGGCTTCTGTTCGTCTCGCTGGGCCCTCTGCGTCCTTTTTTTTTTGACCCACTACACCGGTACTTCTTCTTCTTTTCATCACCATTGCCGTAGTCCATACAAACTGCTTTGCTCAAATTTGATCCACTACACGCGGTATGCCGGTACTTCCTTTTTTTTTTCATGTTTGTTAGTGGCCTGGTCTCTTTGTTGCTTGGCTGTTATTGATTGTGTTCGATCCGTTGCCAGCACCTGACATATTCAGCCTGTTCGCTTAGTCGTATTTGGCTTATAAGCCATGGCTTATCAGCCAACCAACAGTATTTTTCTCTCACATCAAACCAGACAACAGTACTTTCAGCTATGGCTTATAAGCCGAACAAGCCCAAACGAACAAGGCGATTGCTGCAATCTTTTGACAACATTCGCCTGAAGCATCGGATCAGGGAAACTGTTGATTAATTTAAATTCTCATGTAATCAAAACGACAAGGTCAATTATCGTGAACTGAGCGTAGGTTACTTGTGGTGGAACCTATCCACTGAGTTCGAGCCCCATACTCAGCATGGGTACTCCTATTTTCAGCTAATATTCTTTAGTGATGGACGTCGTGTCCATTGAGTGAAAAATTCGTACCCACTGAGTGGAAAATTTTATCTCACTCACCGTTGCTGATGCCAAATAAGGAAAGAGATGGAGGAAAACAAAGAAGAGAGATTGGATTAGCAAATGGTTGATTGTAGCAAAAGCACATACTATTCTGCCTTTCCAGATGACTGATCGACCTGGTCGTAACTATATAGCATCGAGAAACTAAGACACGCACAGACTATTCTGCTCCCAGGCCCGTCGCCCCGCGGCCCGGTTGCTAGCTTGCAATTAATATTGCATTGTAGCGATCGAGAAATTAAGACAGGCACATGCTATTCTGCCCCCTGTCCCGTCGTCCCCGGCTCGGTTGCTAGCTTGCAATCAATGTTGCGTTGTCGAGCCAGCTCACGATTAAGCAAGAGATGGAGAGGGAAAATTCACACACCACTTGATTGTAGCGCGTTGGCTGGCTGCACTGAGTGCTGTTGACTCAGCAAACAAGTGAAAAACCTAGTATTAGCTTATTTCCCGCGACTTCATTAATTTCGACTACATCATCACCTGTTCAGGTATGGAGTAGTCAACCACGAAATTTCCGCTGCAGGAGGGACTCATCACACCTAACGAATTAACCCACGAAAGCTTTCCAGATGATACTAGGTTTCCAGCCAAGGAATTTCTATAGTAGTATACTATAGAAATTTCTATAGTAGTATACTATTCTGCCTTTCCAGATGACTGATCGACCTTCGAGAAACTAAGACACGCACATACTATTCTGCGTCCAGGCCCGTCGTCCCCCGGCCCGGTTGCTAGCTTGCAATTAATATTGCATTGTAGCGATCGAGAAATTAAGACAGGCACAAACTATTCTGCGTCCAGGCCCGTCGCCCCGCGGCCCGGTTGAATATTGCGTTGCGTTGCGCTGTCTAACCAGCTCAGGGCATCGACAGTGCTGTGGGCGTCGACTTTTTATCGTATCGAGCGAACATGGTAAAACTCCTCATATGCCTCTGGGCATCAATAGTATGGCAGGTACCGACATCTGCCATACCTGAAGAAGGCGACATAACCTCCCACATGCATTTGACATTCTACAGTAACATCAACAGTGTTGTGGGCGCCTACAAACATCTTGTACCCGCCAGCGTGGGTAGCAAGACTTACCAGCGAACGTACTCTCTCCCTCTCACTTGTAAAGCTATCTCCTTCATCTATAAAAGGGGATGTGCCCCCTCCAATGTAAGATAGTTGTCTTCGGTGGATTCAAGGTCATACAAGTCATTCCAGATTCATTAGATCAGCCAAGTTCACTAGTTCACAACCACAGAACCACCAGGTTCCAACCTCAAGCATACGCTTGAACACTTAGCTCATAGAGGAGCTCCCGTCGCTCACGGCCCTTCTGACCGGACCTCTTGTACACCCCATTTTTCTCCTTCTCATTTGTAACCCCACTGTAGACTTCGAGCACCTGGGCTTAGGAATAAAGTCACCGACCGACTCAAACTGGACATAGGGCACGTTGCCTGAACCAGTATAAACCCTGTGTCATTGAGTTCTAGGCCACCTCCGATCACAACGTATGGCAAAACTACAAATATTTACGTGGTGGTCACTTTCTACGCCGACAAGAGGATTCTTGGCCTAAAAAGTCACGACTACCACATCTTTATTGAAAGATTGCTTCATGTTGTGTTCCATGGGTTTCTACCAGATAATGTATGGCGCTCTTTGGCTGAGCTTAGTTACTTCTATCGACAATTGTGTGCCAAAGAACTTAGTAAAGATGTTGCTCTCTCTTTAGAACAGAATGTTGCGGTTCTTCTTTGCAAATTAGAGAAGATATTCCCTCCTAGATTCTTCAATGTTATGCAACATCTGATCATCCATCTACCTTATGAGGCACGATTGGGAGGGCCAGTTCTAGCCCGTTGGAGTTATCCATATGAGCGGTAAATCTGAAAAAATATCTACATATCAGTTAATGCCCATTAGTTTTTTATTTGTAGCATATTCTCTTATTTCATAGGTTTATCCAGAAAATTAAGAAAAAAGTAAGAAATAAGGCACGTGTCGAGGCTGCCATTGTTGAGGCATTTCTAGTTGAAGAGGCTACAAATTTTCTTAGTCTATATTTCAAATCCAGTGCACCTTCTATTAGAAACAAGATGCCACGATATGATGATGGTTCATCTATATTTCAAGGTACATGTGACCTTGAAATTTTTAAATGCCCGCGTCGATGCATCAGCCCAATGGGTATCCATAGCCTCTCAAATGAGGAGCACAAGGTTGCTTTCTTGTACATACTAACAAACATACCTGAGATGGATGATTTCTTCATGTAAGTTATACAAACTACTTGAGTAGTGTTGTCCCAAATAACCTGAACCTTTGATGTGAGTTGAGTATTGTTTCTACATGTAGACAATTTGATAAAGAGGAGTGGAAGAGCCAATCTGATCCCAATGAACAGCAACTTCATGATTTAAGGTTAAATGGTTGGAAAAATGCCCGTGGCAAACAGTTTGGGCCAAATTTTTTTGATTGGTTCCAACAGAAAGTAATACTCTTATCCATTTGTCAATATGTTTATATTGAATAATAAAAAATTCTAAAGAATTTTAACTTAGTTTTTTTTGTTTTAGGGCATGAAATCAGTTGGCATTCACAATGTTCTATGCCAGTTATCTTATGGTTTCTGCACTCAAGTTACCTCCTATGGGTGCTATGATGTTAATGGATATAGATTCCGTTCAGAGAAATATGAGAGGGGAAGACTTGGTTTAACAACCATCAATACTGGTGTTTGTGTTACTTCATATGATGAAAAAACAACAACGCCTCTGAGTATTATGGTGTCATAGAAGATATCATAAAAATTGAATGGGAAGGCAGTTTGAAACTAGAATTGGTTTTATTTTATTGTCGTTGGTTTGATCCAACACCTAATGGATTGAGGCGCACGAAAGATTTAGGCTTAGTAGAGATCAAGCATGCAATAAGGTTGAAAAGTTTTGACCCATTTGTGATGGCTAGTCAAATTACTCAGGTTTATTATCTATCTTACCCATGTAAGGATAAGGATCTATCTCCATGGTGGGTTGTCTACCAAGTTGCTCCTCATGGATGTGTACCTCTTAATGGTGCAAATGATGAGTCCATGAGTTCTGAACATGTAATACATGATGTCGATCAAGAGGATGGATTGGATGGTACCTTTGTTATTGATTTGGGGGAAGCATTGGATTCTCTGGTATCTTTGGGCTCGGATGAGAGATTATTGATGTGGTAGACTTGGAGACAATAG